GAACATTGCATGCGAAGAATGTTTGTTTGCGTAAACAAAGGAGTACAAGAACATCGAATGAATACAGTAGAATTTGGAGGATACTTTTTAGCATTGGATATCTTATTGGAAAAGAATGTTGATTGGATCTACTATGACATTAATGCAGATGATAAGAATATGGACGAGATGCCAGAAAATTTGATATATGAAGAGCTTGGTGGTGGTATGATGGTACTCATTAATTGTTCATAATAGAAATTGTTTAAGAAGCTTGTTGAAAATAAGTCCTTTTTAACCCAACTAACTTATTTAATGCGGAAACTAGGATCTGATTCTTGATTTATTTATCCATGCGGATGGTCCGAGGCTGAGAAATCGTACAGCTCACGGCGAAGCCAACCATCTTATTTCATCGTCGCTTGTATCGTCCAATCCTCTGTACTCATATTATGTCAGTCTATTGGTTGTATTGTGGGTTAAGTATCATACCAAATCGTTATTGATTAAATCCATGGAGCTCAAAGAAGATGAAATTGAATCATCCCGAAATGAAGATTTTCAAAATGATGTCAATATAGAGGATTCCTTTGGAACTTATGAACGTTGGACATCAACATATCAATCACGATTTCATCCTGTACCCATGTTATGGAAAGAAAGTTTACACTTGATTATTAGCATTTGGAAATGCTGTAAGTTTGCAGAAATGATAGAAAAAACGGGAAGATTTGTTTTGGGTGATTGGATCGAGTTTGTCTCTAGTGATAATTTCACAACTGCCTTTAATGGTGACATGACATATAAAGATATTGAATTCGAAAATTCGAGTAATTATTCCAGAATCTTACCAGAAAGTTTGTTTCTGAGGCAATTTTTGAAGGAGGTTATTAAGGAGAACAATATTGTAAATATTGTGCGAATGTTTCGTGAGAAAATCAAGCCAAGTAGGTTTAAGAATACAGATACTATTTTTTGGTGTCAAAGAAGGTTCACCAAGGAAGATGCCAAGCTTGTTAATTTTCAGAGAGTGGTGATTGGTAAAGCTGATTCTGGTGTTAAAAAGGTATTTTTGAATTATGAGAAATTAAATGACCTTGTTTGTTTTTTAAAAAAATATTATTTTCAACATAATTCTTGAAGTTACAAGAAATCCTCAAATCGATACACACCTCACCATCTCTCTCATCACGTAAACGCAAAAACATACAATCTCTATTCTCCCTATTCCCTACGATCATGCTAAAGTTATATTTCGCGATATTCACGTTAGAACATTCGGTTATCCTCGAACAACAAATCTTGTCTACCACCGCTAATCGACAAAAGCTCATGTTGGCAGTACTGGTCTTTGTAGAAAGGTGGAGCGGATATTGCATCGAAGGACAATGG